CATTTAAATAATTATATAGCCCTCGGTAAAGCCTCTGATAGTTTAATTATTTTCACATTATATACAGAATCATTATACTCAGGAAGAGTAAAGGAAAATTATCATATCTCCTAATCATTTTTACTCAGATAGAATACAAGGAAAATCATATATCCCATATAAAGAACCCTATTGTTCAGATAAACACGTTACAGTCCTCTTTCTCTTTCATTCTTATACCGGTGCTTATTTTAAATGCAATACTCTGTGACTGAAACAAAAACTGCATTTTAAACTGGGCATCCTGCAAATTGAATAAATAGGTAATTTCCTGGTTCTGGGGTACTCTTTTTTTATATTTTTATTGAAGACCAGCCATTTGTATCTTAAGTATCTTCGAATCTTTGGTGTGCATTTAAGACATCCACACTTCCAATTTTTCATGCACATTTACTGCCATAAAATTCTCAATTTTTATTGTATATATTTAATATATGCACATAAAAATAACATCAATTATCCTGTATAACTGTAAGAGATAAAAAATCATATTTCGACTATTCTCTGCTCATTACTAAGGTGTCTTGACATCAAATTTTCATAACTGTTAAATTTGAAGCAGCTGCATGTGTCTACTTGTTTGTTACTGAAGTTTAGTCATTTATTTATGGGCATGTGATCCAGATCATTAATGCCCCTTATCTAAGGAAAGGAGAACTAATAGTTATGAAGTCCGTTTTTTAATAACGTCTTTTTCGTGAGTCATCAGCTTTTTAAAAATAACTCAAAATAAAATGGCAAAGAAAAAATGAAGTTGACTTACCTTTCGGAAATATTGACATTGTCCATAGCCGCTTATGGGTGATGTACCGTCTGACAACCTACACGTTTGCAACGAGTCTATCTCACAAATTTCAAAACCTGTGCAGGTATTTTCATGGACACAAGCTCTGGAACAAAACCCCATCATATTTTGTTCGCTTGGTTTGGACAATTCCTTTAATACGTGTTTATTTTCGGCGTGTTGTACATAGCCTTGGAATGCAAAACCATTTTTGTGCACCGTTGTACAAGTAATGAGTTTGGGTGTTGTCAAAATGAACATTAGCGTTCCTAGTTGAAAAAAACATTTTGCTTTTTGAAAGGATTAAAGGAACAATGACTTTTATATCTCGAGCATCAGATTGATTTGATAAAGAGAACAAACATGCAGTCTTTTTATCAAAAAAATTTTTCCAAGATCAAATATTTGAAATCGTACAATTTCGAAAAGAAGCATCAATCTGTCTATGAGAAAGTTGCACATGACAGAAGAAAATTGATGTCAACATAACAATGTATGCTTAAATTGAATGATTAATGACTTACTCTACTAATTACTTTTAAAAATGCTAAAATTATTTTCCAGTATTGAACAGAATACATACATATTTACATTAATTGGTACCTTCCTCAAAACAAGGCCCTAAATTAAAGATCTTGAAACACAAATTTACTTTTTAAAAAGCAATCAAATACAAGCTATCAGGTAAGGGGCCATTAATGACTTCAGATGACTGCTTTGTAAATCTCACCAGGAGAAGGGTCCCTAGGAATGCTTGGATTGTACCAATATATTTTCTTGGGATACATCTTTACAGAATTACACGAACTACTCTTTTTTTAATTCCCCATATATCCCGAATAATTCTTGATATGTCGAGGATTAAAAAATTAAGATTTGGAATGAGATTTTTTTTCTTGAAGTCTCTTTTAAAGCCTTGTTCCAAATATTGTAATGTCATAGTTTATGTACGAGATACTGAGCTTAGATTTCAGTTATGTGTTGTATTTCTGCATACTTGCTATAAGATGCTGAAGGGAAATATCACAGTTATATAGTTTTTTTGTTTTTTTTGTTTTTTTTTTGCAATAATGTACATATCACCAGCTGCATTTTGAGTTAACTAGTATTTTCCAGATGATTCAATACGCAAGGGTATGCTCTTTGTATGGGCAAGATTTTAAACAAGGCAAGCTTTTGACAAATACGTTGACGAAATAAAGATATCATCAGTCTCGTTTAAAGTCAGCATTTCCCAAATTTTAATTTATTGATTCAATGTCCTTGTCAGCAAATATAATCTACCATTGGGTGTTTTGATTAACGTTTTTAGACAAATTGCTAAGCTTTATTTTCACACCGAATTATTTTAGACTAGTTTTTTTTTCGTTTGCCCAATCGTGACAAGGAGCGCACATTGGGTACGACCAATCGACCCAAAAGTTACTTAGATATTTTAAAATAGGAGGAGAGAAAACACGGACCTCTAAAACATCAGAGAAACTTGTTGTTCCTTGGTAAACAATGAATTAATTGACCCAAGTATTCAAATAAAGAAAAGAATCACGCCTTATTGTTAATTTCATTTCTGGATTTTAAAAAAAATGAATGATTGTGTTACGTCATAGAAGCTCGGGAAAGTATTGTAGTTCCATCTTTGGTTTCGCCAACAGCAGTTCTTGACGAAATCAAATATTTTATTGAAATTTTTCAGTATTCATTAAATATCATCCTGTGTATTCATTTTTAAAATCCAAAATACCAATACTTGCAAAGGGAACAAAGTAAATATAAAATTTTCAAGTTCTGTTTGTCGTACTAACCCTTCAGCCAACTTTTCCAAACAATAAATGACTATTCCTTGCATTAAGTAAAAGGGATTTTTGTAACAACATAAATGAGATCGATTAAGAATAGCAATGACAACAATTTTAAGTTGAAATATATTATTAAAGTTAAAGCAACTAGGAATCACAATTTTGACAATTTATTGGTACAAAATATCCAGACAACCGCAAAATTACTGAACTATCTTATTTTTGTTTAACTGAAGGTCTTGGACAAACTGGATATAGAATATCCAAACTGGCTAAAAATATACAAATTGTATCATGGGCAGAAATGACCCGACTTATATTTTCAGTGCAATTTTTTTAAAATTATATTTTTATATTATCAAAACAATATTTTTGTCAGAACAAATCTTTTAAAAAATTAAGAAGAAAAGGTGATATAAAAGACATGAATGTATTATCATCAAAATGAAGAAGATATATTGAGGTATTATATACCCAAAATGTTGATTCAAGTCATTACGAATGTTTCACTGATTTCTATGTTACAAAATAATCTTGTCACGTGGAGATGTCATCCGAGTTTCAATTCAGAACATAATCTACCAGTGCTACAATTTTTTAATAATCATTTATTATTTTTGCTTAGATAGTTCATATTCTATACACTTCCAACTCGAAAAGTACTACAGTAAGTTTTGTAATATCTGTTATAAAATCAAGAATAACAAATGTTTAGAAAGGGAAATAAACAAAGCAATACAAAAATAACGTTATGTAGTATTTAAGTAATTTTTATATATTTATTTATTCAAAAAATAACAAAATTTAGGAACAATTTTATTAAACCTTTAATAAAGAAAAAGGCCTTATTTCTCCACATTTCTACCATAACCATACATAGACCGATCACTCCTGCGGCCGAAAACAAGAACAACTAAAGTTTCTCAAGACGTACCTAAATGCAAGGAACTATAAAACGTTGAGTAAAATTCAGAAAGATTTACACATATCACAAAATTTAACTAGATAAATCTGATCATCATCTTTGCACTCAGTAAACGTGCATTAGCTTCGAATTCAGAAGCACAGTCCCATCCAAAATAATAAGGACTGCCATTATATGGTGACGTCAAACTACACATGGTATTACAAGAGTGATCACACCACCATCCACAAGACGCCAAAATTGGACAGCCACATTGTCCAGGATCGTAGTCATTGGCTCCAAAGCGGCGTCCATCTAAATATGACATCATGTCACCTAAAATATAATCTCAATTGAACGTTGTGAGTAATTAAGCACTTAGCATACAGTATTCAATTTAAGTCTTTTTGCTTAAAGGATACTTTTTTTATTTCAATTTTTTTACGAAAGAAGGAGTCCATAGTTTTAATTAATATTGAAATGTTCCATATACGATAACTCCATTCTTTCAATTAATTTTGATTCTTTGAGTTTGGCGTAAAAGTTTCGCGCATATTTTTTTTTCAATCTAACTTTGCTTGTAACTTTTGAACTTTTGAACGGTAGGTGCTATGGCTTTAATATAAGGTGTATTCTTAGTGACAAACCCTTTCTCTATAGATACTTATGTTTGATCTCTGGTCAGTAGTGTAAAAGAATGACTTCATATTTATTTTAAAAATTCTACAAAGTTTTCCTTCTAAAATTATATTTACGTACTTGTATTTCCCGAAAAACCATGAATGTGAAGTCGATAATTATAGCGGAGATGGCCCAACGATACATGTTCATACTCAACATCTACACTATAATTGGAGTATACTAATTCAATTCTCAAAATCGACCATCGATAATATGTGAGGAAGAAAAAGTACTTGTTTCCTGTAAAAATGAAAGTAATTTAACAAGATCTAAAAGTGATTTTAAAAAAAAACACGATATATTAAATCATATAACATATTTTGTTATTTTTCCAAAACCTCAACTCATTATAAAACTTTATGAGTCAGAATACTTGAGTAAAACTCTAATTATGAGATTCATACCTAGCCATATTTCAGTGCTCGGTGATCCAAAGCCATTTTCATATTCACCATAACTTCTGTTAAAGTCTACCTTACCATCATGTCGACTAAGTATCACCTAAATAAATTCCAAATGATTAGGTATGATTAAAACTTGACTTTTAAACGTTTATTTATTTTTAACTCATTTATCGGTCTACTTTATATCTAACTTTTCACCTATTTACCCGACTTAGTTCGAAAATAATTATTAAGCAAGTGATGGTTTACCTACCGTGTAAGCGTATCCGTCCGATAGAACACACTCTACAGTAACAAACATGCCGTCCATCTTTACCTCATAAATTCCACTCATATTTGTAAATCCCAAAACACAATCACAGTCCGAACATTCTTAAAATTAGGAAAGGAAACTAAAGGGATTTTTATTTCATATAAAAGCTTTGCTTTAATTTCAATATCATGTGTCCATAAAGTGAAATTTCAAATATACAAGTACATATACTTGCTTGATACTTTTTAAAAAATTCATCCAATTGTCTTATAACAAATGAGCATTTTATCATTACATGTAATAAAAATAAGTGGAAAATTATAAACTCTATAAAAATATACCTGGGTACAATCCCAAACATGACTTATCCACAGACGTACTATCGCAGAATCGTGAGTAATGTCGAATCTAAGAAAAAGGGAAAACGTGGAAAAAGCATGACTCCTACCTCCAAAAATGTTAAAACCAAACAAGTAAAACGAACATAAATGAATAAGTTCAATTTCTAAATTTTAATTTTAAAAAAAGGTCAATATCAAATTAATTCCAAAATGTGAACTTGATTAAGTCCTCTATGTAAGGCGAAATTATCATACTCTTTCATTCTTATACTGGTACTTATTTTAAATGCAATATTCTGTGACTGAAAAAACTGCATTTGAAATTGGACATCCTGCAAATTGAATAAATAGGTAATTTCTTGGATCTTGGGTACTCTTTTTTTCATATTTTTATTGAAGACCAGCCGTTTGCGTTTAAAGTATCTCGGAATCTTTGATGTGGATTTTATACATCCACACTTCCAATATTTCACGCACATTTACTGGCATAAAATTCTCAGTTTTCATTTTATATTTTTAATATATGAATATATAAAAATAACATATCAATTAACCTGTATAACTGTAAGAGATAAAAATCATATCTCGACTTTTCTCTTACTTATTACATGTCTTGACATCAAATTTTCATAAATGTTAAATCTAAAGCAGCTGCATGTTTCTATATGTTTCTGAATTTAAGTCATTTTGTGCATGTGATCAAGAATATGCTTTTTATTTAAGAAAAGGAGAACTACTAGTTATGAAGTCCGTTTTTAAACAATGTCTTTTCCGTGAGTCATCAGCTTTTTTAAAAATTACTCAAAATAAAAATGGCAAAGAAAAAATGAACTTGACTTACGTTTCGGAAATATTGACACTGTCCGTAGCCGCTTACGGGTGATGTACCATCTGACAACCTACATGTTTGCAACGAGTCTAACTCACAAAGTTCAAAACCTGTGCAGGTATTTTCATGGACACAAGCTCTGGAACAAAACCCCATCATATTTTGTTCGCTTGGTTTGGACAATTCCTTTAATACATGTTTATTTTCGGCATGTTGCACATAGCCTTGGAATGCAAAGCCATTTTTGTGCACCGTTGTACAAGTTATGAGTTTGGGTGTTGTCAAAATAAACATTATCATTCCTAGTTGAAAAGGCATTTTGAGTTTTGAAAGGATTATGGAGCAATGGTTTTTATATGGCAAGTTTCAGATTGATTCAGGTAGAACAAACATGTTGTTTTTTGTATCAAAGGCAATTTCCAAGATCAAATATTTACAGTCAAAAAATATATAAAAGAAGCATCAATTTCTTCATGAGAAAGTTGCATATGATAGAATAACTTGCAACAATGTATGCTTAGATGGAATAATTAATAACCAACTCTACTAATTACTTTCAAAAATGTTTAAATCATATTTGCAAGAAAGGAATGCATACATGCATTAATTGATACCTTCTTCAAAACAAAATCATAAAGATCTTTTACCACTGAAATTACAAACAAGCAATCAAATTTTGTGACTATAATGGCCTCATTTTACTGGCTATGAAAATCTTATTTAGAGGAAGGGTCCTTAATAATACTTGGATTATACAACAATATACATGGATTTTCTTTGGGTATAATTTTGACCAGGATTAAGTTTTGTATTGGAGTAATAACTTCTGCAACTTAACCGATAGTTTTAAGTCCATTCTAAGGTCGTTTTTCTTCCAAGTATTCCAAATATTATCAGATTTATTAACGAAATACTGGATATGGATTTCTGTAACATTTATATATAATTATATACATGTTTATTATAATAGACACTTCAATCTCATGATGCTATTTTCATGGCATCAGAGTAGATTGAGGGAAAACATCACAGATAAATAAAAGTAAGAATATAGGAGGGGTGAAAGAAAAACCTTCCTGTATGTATGTCGCAATGTACCACTAACATCTGCATATAGAGTTGAACAATGTTAAGAATAAGGCAAGTTTTTGTCAAATACATTGATAAAACACGGTTATCATCAAGTCAATGTTTTGCAAATTTTCATTGTTTGATACAATTATCATATCAGCATATATAATCTTTCATTGGATTGTGATTGACATTTTTAGATTCCTAAGCCCTATTTTCACACCGAATTGGCAACATTTTTTTTCTAATCAAAATGCGTCCGTTGTCTGTCGTCGTTGTCGTTGACGCTGTCATTGGCGTCGTTCTTGTAAACTTTTCACATTTTCATCTTCCTCTCAAGAACTACAGGGTCGATTTCAACCAAACCTGGTACAGAGTATTTTTGGGTAAGGAGAATTCATATTTATTAAAATGAAGTGTCACGCCCTTTTCCAAATGGAGATAATAACAAATTATTGGAAAAAATTAATTGCATCATTAAAAACCTTAAGAACCAGGAAAGCATGTCAGTATATCAGAATACTACTTGGTCCACTTTTTAAAAGTAGGTCAAACTCCAAGGTCAAAGGATCAAAGTTCTTGGTCATCATAGAAGACGTCGCCATTTTAACACGACGGACAGAGCAGGGTGCATCATCCTGTATCATATAACCTTTCCCAAACTAAATTGATATTCCTCGCCGTAAATATGACTGAATCTATTTGCTGTAAGTGGGATATGATCTGGTGCCAATTCGGGGTCATGTGGAAGACACAGGGTATTTGCACCATTGCCCTTTTCTGGTAACCTCCTGCTATTCCCATGAATTGTCATTACAATTCTTAATTAAACTAATTCTTTGAAAATAGCTTCAATATGGTGTCATTGAAATAAATTTACAGAAATTTGGTTAGAATTATAACAGACAAAATGGTGTACAAATTTGGTTTTGTTGGATTTCTTTGATTCTACATTGACATTGATAATCAAAGATGTTTAAACTAAGCACGTTCCTACGAAATATGTATTAAAAAAACTGGCCCTATTTTCCTTTGCGTTTAATCTTTTTCACCTTTTTGCTTGACCTTAGAGTTTGACCCACTTAAAACAAATTAGATTGACCATATGCTTTAAAAGGTTAGAGCTAGGGTTTCCATATTTTCATTTGTATATTCTTAGAGACAATTTCTTACCTTGAAAATCAACAATTTTGACCCTTTGGGCCATTATATACTCATTAAATTTTTGGCGGATTTCCCCGATCATGGCAAGGAGCACACAGCAGGTGTGACAGGTCGGCTCACTCCTCCATGGCACCTGATCTCACCTCTGATGTTTAGGAGGTCCTTGTTTGCTCTACTCCTATTTTGTATTGCTTAATGGACTTTTGAGCTCGAATACTGTTCCTTATCTCCATAAATTCCTTTTTTTTTAAAATCGTTTACTAGTACCTTGACCATATGTTTGAAATGGTTAATGTACGGTCATAAGCCACATGTTCATTACTTGTGAAAAGATCTTTTATTACATCAGCTAAATTCATTTTACACTTTGATCTAAAAAAAACCTACTCGTTTGCAACGAGTCTACCTTACAGATATCAAAATATGTTTAGGAATTTTCATGGATACAAACTCAAGAACAAGACCCCATGATATTTTGTTTACTTCATTTGGATAATTCATTTAACATATGTGTTTATTTTCACCATATTGCACATGCCCTTGAAAGGAAAAGTCTTTGTGCACCTTTGAACAAGTAAAGAGTTTTAATGGTGCAGTCAAAATGAACATTTTCTTTCTTCGTTCCTAGTTGAACAAGATGTGTTTGTGAAACAATGATTCCCCCGTATGGCAACATAGCCAAGGTTAAACATGCAAATTTTATATATTGGTACCAAAAGTAGGGTATTCTCACAGGAAATACAATTGTGAAATATGAAAGTTGGCCAAGGTTAAAGTTTTTTCATTAGTACGGAAATCCTAATAGGCTTGGTCACTGGTATCCATAGAAAGGTCTTGCCACAAAAAATACATATGTAAAGTATGGAAGCCCTAGCCCTAACCGTTCAGAAGTTATGGCCAAGGTTAAATATTTTTAAAAGTAGGTCAAACTCCAAGGTCATATGTCTTGCTATCAAATAAAAGGTCTTGTCACAAGAATTAAATATGTAAAATATGAAAGCACTAGCCCTAACCCTTTAAAGGTAATGATAATATTTACTTTTTAAAAGTAGGTCAAACTCCAAGGTCAAAGGATCAAAGTTCTTGGTATCCAATGAAGAGTCTTCTCACCATGATGACAAAAGTAAAGTATGATATTACTAGCCCCTAGCTTTCAAAAATTATGGCCAAGATGAAAGTACTCCAATGTCAAAAGGTCATGGTATTTAGTATCCAATGAAAGGTCTTGCCACATAGAATACAAATATAAAGTATGGAAGCCCTACCCCTTACCGTTCAGAATTTATGGCCAAGGTAAGAAAAATTAAAGGTAGGCAAAACTCCAAGGTTAAGGTCAAAAGGTCAAAGGTCTTGCTATCAAATGAAAGGCCTTGTTACAGGGATTAATTATGTAAAGTATGAAAGCACTAGCCCTAACCCATTAAAAGTTATGGTCGAGGTTTGGTTTTTAAAAGTAGGTCAAACTCCAAGGTTAAGGTCAAAGGGTCAACGTTCTTGGTATTCAATGAAGGGTCTTCTTACAAGGATTACACATACGAAGTATGAAAGCCATATGCCTTACCGTTCAAAAGTCATGGCCAAGGTTAAAGTTTTTATACAAGTATGGAAATCTCCAAGGTCAAAAGGTCAAAGTTGTTGGTATCTAATGAAAGGTCTGTCAACAAAAAATATATATGTGACGTATAAATGTCCTGGTATCTATTATTCAAA